AATGGCGCCGAGGAGAATCCTTTGCAAGGATCACATGCCTTCATAACTCAGCACAAATGGGCAAGCAATGTCAAGTGAGTGCACTCGAATGTGGGTTGTGAAGAAGTGAAGTTGTAATCAATTTTGAATTCTACACTTTGTAGGGCTCTCATCAACTTGGACTCAGCAGGTTCGGGTGGTCGCGAAATTTTGTTTCAGTCCGGTCCTGACCACCCTTGGTTGATGCGATATTACGGTCAACATATCTTGCATCCTTATGCGTCAAGCATTGCCGAAGAATTATTCCAAAATGGATTTGTGCCTTCGGAGACAGACTTCAGGATATTTAGAGACTTTGGAGAAATACCGGGTGAGAAGAGAATTTTCTGTGGTAAAAAAAAAATGAAGAAAGTTATTTTTAAAAATATTCTTAAGAGTCCTAAAACCAAAATATTTTAATACTTGGTTGAGATGCGCGTACCACTAATCGGCAATACTCAGGTCCCATGATTTCTTCACCTAACATTAAAGTAATGCTTCTGCTAATATCTGATGCCGTTTGCCGGGCAATAGAAAAGCTCTGCACTAACGGGAAAAAATTGTAGAATTAAAAAAAACATGCTAAATTAAAAAAAAATACGCATATGAAAGAGCACCAACTCGTTTTAAATTTGAGTGTGTACGTTATAAAATATGTCGTTGTAAAGTGCTCGGCTGGTGGCCTCCAGACGGAAGTTCTGAATGGTTTTGCTCGATATACTACCTAAAAATATTTTGAAAAGATTTGCTAACAACTAGGCGGCTTCCTCAGTTAGATCGAAACTTGTGAAGGACATTAGGAGATAGTTGTACCTAATTTCTGGTAAATTTTAAATTACCCTTACCTACAAACAGTCGGCCGTCTCCACAGGGTACTGGCCCTTTGGATTACGTTCGTTACGTAAGGATAAGCATTTTTTCACCAGCTTCTGCCGCTGAAGCCAGTTTCCGAGCTGAAAGGGGATGCTTGAACAAATTCTCTGCCAGTGCCCGGACCTTGCAAGAGTGAGGCTAAAGACATTTGACTAACCATTCTTGCAGAAATTTCAGAATGCAGTCCCCTATCTCTATATGATATTTATCAAAACCGCTATTTTACTCCCACAATCTCATTTTTCAATCTCTTTTTTGTTGGAATTGTAAAATATTTACTCCACAGTTATTGCTAACCATGCGATTTTAACTCTACTACTTCATTCCGCAGGCTTAGATATGGCACACACTGTCAACGGCTACGTCTATCACACCAAGTATGATCGCTTCAATCTGATACCACGCAGAACGTATCAGCTCACCGGCGATAATGTATTAGCGCTCACTAAAGCTTTGTGTAATGCGGCAGAAATGGAAGATCCAGCGGTAAGCTTAGCTATTTACTATGAACTTCAAAAATTTACCCATACTTTTTTGTAGAAATATGCTGAGGGTCATACAATTTTCTACGATGTGCTTGGTTGGTTTATAGTCTACTACCCGGAAGAAACAGGCATTGTGATAAATGTTTTGGTTTGCGTCATAGCCATTATCACTATATTGGCCTATATTTGGAATATGGCACATCAGACGGGCATGTTTAGGCGTCGCGTTTTTATCAAATTCGGCATCTTGTTGGGTGTCCAATTCGCCGCTGTGATTCTGGCCATATTGCTGACTATCACAATTGCGATATTCATGGATACTGTTGGCCTTTCAATGTCGTGGTTCTCCCAGCAATGGATGACTTTCGGTTTGTACTTCTGTCCGATGTTCTTTATGATGGGCTTGCTGCCGGCGGTCTACTTGAGTCGTACAAAGGAGGTGGGTGTCATGGATGAAGACATAAAAAATATGTGAATGTATTTTTCCAATCTTTTCTTCACAGCATGGCTTACCGCTGGGCTATGCTATTCAGCTGATTATGCACGCGCACTGCTTGATTTTGACTATGGTTTGCATTATACTGATCTCACTTAATATACGCTCGGCATTTGCGTTGATGCTTTGCATTGGTTTCTACGTACTATCGGTGATCTTGAATATGGCCACATGCTTCCAAAAGACTAGTAAGTCGCCTCTTTTCTGTGTTAGCAGAATTGTACTTTAAGCGCCCTACTTCTCCCACAGCGTTCCTCTGGCTAATACCGCACATCATCTGCCAGCTGATGCCTTTCCTCTTCTACAGCTACTGCTGCTATGCTTTCTTTGTTACTTTTGTGCCGATGCAGGGTCGCGAAGGTAGTAGCAATCCTGAGCTCTTTATCGGTGGCTTTACAGCGCTACTCTGTCTGTTGCTGGCACCCTTTTTGGTACCACTTTTGTGCCTCTTCCGCAAGTCGAAGACCATCATTTCCATCTTCGGCGTCATTTGCTTGGTATTCATCATACTAGCTGCCACACCGGTTGGCTTTCCATATGCCGAACGTGAAGCGCCACAGCGTTTCTATGTTGCGGTAAGTAGAATTTATAAACAAAAAAATACTAAAAGATAATAACTATTCCCATTTTGCAGCACACAACACGCACCTTCCACAACGGCGATGCAGCGATGTCGGTTCGCTTCAACGATTCTGGCTACTACGTTGTGCCGGTCGATCGTCGTCCGCATTCAATAGACTACTTGTTTGAGAACATAAATGCAAGCAAATCCAGTCAACTGGGTATTGACTGCGATACAGAGGTGATGTGTGGCTATCCGATTTACAGTACGCGCTGGTTGGGCTATCGGTATGCTCTGCAAAGTTATTCATGATCGAATGAGTGCGTCTAATAAATATTTCTCTTTAATTAGTGATCAAAGCTTTTGGGTCGATGGTCCTGCACCGAAGGCTGGCAGCTGGCCGCGTTTGAGAATTCTGAGCAAAGAACGCATCTCATTTACGAATCTGATTATTAGCCTGGAGGTGGCAGGTCCGGATCACATGAGTGTTTTCATACAACCCATGAATGATACAAAACTGGTGGACTGGTCATTTGATCGTACGCCAATTCAGGAGAACTTTAAGACGCCATACTTTATATATCTTTCATATGCTTTGGATCCGGCGCCTTTCCGGTTTCATTTGGAATTCGAGGTAATTAATGAAAAGTTACTTAATTCTATATTTTGGATCGAATTTCAGTCATCTGTTGACAAATTAGGTTTGGAGATAAACCCCTTTTCGGGACTCGCTTTAATGAACTTTTATGTACTATTGGCTTTACCATTTTGATCCTATAGATTGGTTTAGTTTTTGCCCGAGAAGCCTAATTT